GAGTTCCTGTATGACAAAACTTGAATTCCTACCAGAGCCATACATATTATTTAGGCTGGGAAAACTTCCACATATATGCTTGTTGTTTTGCATTGAGTTTTGTCAAGCTTTGTTGACCCTTATAAGAGGTTTGTTATGCTCTTAAAATCAAGATCACATATACTCCACCCACATATGCACTACTCCTACACTAGGAGTAGGTGCAAAAATATGCCATTCCATCTAGATCCACCCAAAAATATTTTACTCCTACACTGGGGGTAAACACAAAAACATGCTTCTTTGGTTTTCCATCCATCAAATAAATGCTCAAAGTTCTTGTTAATATATGTCTCAAAGAGGCATGGGGCTATGCAAAAATTATTTATAAAAAAAGAGTTGAGAAAAAATGGACTCAAAAGTGTCCAAGATATTGAAAATAATGGGTACTTAGATGCCCACCTAAAAAAAGAGAAAGAGAGATGAATAAGATAGCCCCTATTCTCTAGCAAATGTTTCTAAGTTCGAAAAGAGAGATATGTTTTCAAGGAGCAAAGCAGACTCAAAAGTTATTCAACAAAAAAGAGTTGAGAAAAAATGGACTCAAAAGTGTCCGAGATATTAAAAACAATATGTTCAATAGGTTTTTCATCCACCAAATAAATACTCTAAATTCTTGTTGCTATCTCTTAAAAGTTTTATTATATAGAAGAGGCATGGGCTATGCAAGAGTTATTCATATATATAAAAAAAGAGAATTGAAAAAATGGACAAGTGTCTAAGAAATTTAAAACAATGGGTACTTAGATGCCTGCCTGGAAAAAATGAGATGAATAAAATAGCCCATGTTTTCTTGCAAACATTTTCAAGTTACATAAGAGAGATATGTTTCCAAGGAGCATAGTAGAATTAGGTTAGTCACCATTATATATCCACCATATTCCACACACATGCACATCTTGATTTGATTGTATGACTTAACTCTCTTTGGATCCATTGTTTGACTTTATAATATATGAATTGCAAGTATGCTCTTTTATGTTATAACCATTCCTATGAGCACGACATAAGCCTTAGTTGTAGGAAGAGAGGCATAACATTATTTTTGCCTTGGTGAGGATCCACAAATATCACATATTTTGAGAGACTTGAGAGTGTCATACAAAGGAATCTGTGAGTTTTTTAGAATTTATAAAAACCCCAGAATAATGGTTGAACAAAGAACTTGAGACATTGTGCTAGACTTGATCATTCTGTCTTTCAATTGCTCAAGACCCAAGTGAAGGCTAAGAAGCTCCATGGTTGAAGGTAATATAGGTAAGTTTGAAAGTCAGATCGGTTTATTCTAATTCAGAGGAGAATTTTTGATTGAACGCATCTGTACTTTTGATGATTGATAACATTGATGCAACTCCTAATCCATTGCTAAGATTAGCATTGCTCAGGTACGAGCAAAGGTTTAGCTTGGGGAGTTTGTTCATGGTAGTTATCATCTATCATAAACCGTCAACATAACTTGTATAAATACATGAAAATGATCACCAACATAGGTTTAGGGGTTTAAACTGACAAATTCCAAGAGTTTTGGTAAATCTGTGTTTTCAACAGGGTTTATTCAGAAATCCGTCAAGGTGGACCCAATTGGTAGAATTAAACGCAATTATCCACAATGAAAATAGCACCAAAAGGTTCCAGAAAACACCAGAAAGCATTCCCTCGAAGCAGACCTCAGGAGGATGATAGGTTGGGCTAGCCGGCCCCACCTACAAGCCGGCTGGCCCCTTTGCCCCACAAGTCAGCCCCAGCTTCAAACATCAGTTCTCCACCGCCTCCTAGATTGTATCTACGCCGTTCTTTCAAATTGGTTTGATCCGAGGGTCTAGAATTGATGCCTCGACCTATATATATATCAGCCCCTACCCCCTCCCTGAGGCATCTGTCTTCAATTCAATTAAGTTCTAGTATAGGCTAGCTAGCAAGATTCAAGTATAGTTGGGCTATTGCTTAGGATTCCAGATTCGCTGTCTGGAGGCTGGTAAAGCCATTGTATCTCTCTATTTTGACTTTGAGCTATTTTAATACTATGTTTCTATTTATTATGATCCTAGTTTGCTTTAGTAGTATGCTTGATATTGTCATGATTGATAATGAATTTATGTATATGTTTGCAAAGCGCTTAGCTCAACACTCGAGTGAGTTAAGTGGTCAACATTATGTAAGCTTGGTGCTTAAATATTATTTACCTACGGATGTGTTGGTATTTATAAGTGCAAATAGAATATGAAGGATTCCGCAAGCGCACATAATACTATTGTAGCATTTTACCAGGAGTATTCTAGGTATCGTTATTTATATTTTACCATAGGGAAACAATGGAGTAAATGATCTATTAACATACCAATATAGCTAGAGCAGGGGATAAATGTAATGATAGGAGTTAATCATAATAGCACTCAGGAGATAGACCACTAAGATAATGTAAATTAGTTAACTTAGGAGAACAACGGGTGAGGTAAATTTTTGTGACATTCTTATCACATGGTCAAAGTATATATACATCCAACTATAGCTAAGACTAACTCTACTCTTGTGCACTTTAGGATGCCGCTTAGATGATAGAGCACCCATAATAGATAACTCTACTGACGCAACTACGGTCCTACAATTTAAGAACCTGCTTAATTCGAAGTGGACTACAAAGGATAGACGGGGCTGTCATCTCCCGCTGCTACCACCCATCCAGAGAACAGGGTGCACTAATAGGTAGAGCATCGTATAAGCACCATGCTTACACGAGACTCGGCTACTTAGCCTAACCGGTAAACTAGCAGGCTAAGCGCTCTATGAACCCGCACATAAAAGTAATGATAACCATAACTAAGCAAGATATATATTCAAAGTAAGCATAGCCATGTAGATAGAATATGATAAATTGATAATAAGTCTAACAAGATGTAGAAGTGAAGATACAAGGCTTTTCCTAGCCTTCAAGACTAGATCCAGAACTTGAGCATGAGCCCAACTCGACCCTCACTCCCGAGCTACTAATCTACTACATTGGAGAGCTCTAGACCTAATTCGTCTAGTGTATGTTGATCTGAATGCTAGATATGGATTAGGGTTTTGGGGATCTGCTGAGAGAGGGGGTAGGGGCTACTATTTATGAGGGGCCCCAGGAACCCTCCTCCTCTAAATAGCCTTATTGGTACTAAACTTTCTACCATATCTCATTAAAATTCCACAGTTCATAATGTGGAGTTTTTTTTATTTGTGAAATTTATATCTTTTCATTCTGAGCTCCAAATATAGCAAATAATATATCCGTTTTGATCAGCTCTACGAGCTTTTCAGAATGGTGCACTCCAATTCATCATTTGAGATAGTTTTGTTCTATAAAAAAATAAATATCCTACGAGACAAGTGATAGCACCAAAACTCATGGAACTTATTAGAATCAAATCCTATAATTATGTTTGGTGATGGAATTAAGTATATATATAGGTTATGTTGGCGGTTTATAATTGACATTTACAACGGTCAACAAGTTTCCCCAAGCTTAACATTTGCCAGTCCTTGAGCAAAACTAAACTCAGCAATGGATTAGGAGTTGCTACAATGTTTTCACGCCTCAAAAGTACACATGCGTTCAATAAAAAATTCTCCTTCGGATTAGAATAAACTGATCTCACTTTCAAACTTACCCATATTACCACTACAAGAGGTTAGACCTTCTATGACTAACTGATTGTGACAATTATAGTCTTTTTCTTGTCATTGTACCCCTTCTATGACACAGCAGTGACGATATGGCTGTGGTCATAGAAGGTGGGTCATAATCCCCCTTCTGTGACTAACAGACCCAGTTGTCATTAATCTTAGTGACAATTGTACGTTTGTCACCCGGTTATGACGACGGTATTTGTTACTAGATTTGTCATAACATATTTGATGGGACGTTGACAAGTGTCCAGTGATATCACGTGGTGCGCGATGTGGCACAGGCAGTATGACAAAAACAAATTGTCATAAAAATGAATTTAGCCCAGTTGGCCCATATAGCATGGGCTGGTTTTTACAATTATAATTCGAATAAGCCCAATTGGCCTATATGCAGGCCGATCATTTTTTGGCCCATTTGTTAACAACCTTTTTATTTTTTTTACCATACTGGCTCAGTAATATTCCAGCCCAGTTTGCATCTAATTTTACGACCCAAGCCCATATAAAGAATCATCATAAATAATAAACCATATATAATTTAATAACAATAATAATTAGACATTCAAATAGATCATTTCCTCCATAATTTAATGGTTTATACAATAGTTCTAACCATTCAACAGCGATACAAATGAATCACATCATCAAAATACAAGATCATCAACAGCCGACAGTTCTACAGGTCACCAAAGTTCTACAAGTCCACCAAAGTTCACTAACATATCATCAGATCATAGTACCAAACATACATCCATCGAAATAAAAATAGCAGCCACATAGCTATGTTTGACTGCTTGTCAAGGCAACAGCTGCTGGCTGTCAACACAGCAGAGGCAGCTACAACAGCAGCAGGGCAAAAATAAAACAGACAGGTGACTACAAATTGTTCCAGTCACGGCAACAACAGCATAGCAAAAGTTGCAGTCACCACCAGATCACCAACAACAACAGCCACCCTCCAGTCACAGTTCCAGTCACAACAAAAGCAGCAGCCACGCCAAACTCCGGTCATAGTTCCAGTCACACCAAACTCCAGTCACAGATCACCAAAATGAGTCGAACCTGCAAAAAACTTAGAGCCTCAGCCACCATCCAGATTGCAATTGTACTATACCAGGTCACCAACTTTCAATTTAGAGATTAACAGAAGTGACCGAATATGAAGATGTGTACCTGAGCACAGCCAAGTCAAGGAGGAGCGGTCTGATGAGTGACCTGACTTTGTCCAAATGCTATCATCTGCCGAACGAGGTTCTAAGTATCTACTGTTGCATCTGGACTGCATGTTTCTGTCTTTGGATCTATGCTGTGTGTGCTGGATACACAAGAACAACTTTAATCCCCCATTGTTGGATACTGATCTGGAGTTCTGGACTTTGGCACTCATTGATATCTGCAAGCGTCATACAATACAAGAGTATAGGAAAACTGAATATCGATGAACAGGTAACTGGAGGTAAACTTGAAAGAAAAAAGTGAATTCTAGAGAGCTACTGACCTTGGCACCCATCTGACAGGTACGGGTTGCCTGCAAATCCATCGAGGCAGCTACAATAAGAAGACATACCACTAGCCGACTATCAAAGAACTAATATCAATTACACGATACAAGTAAAGTCTCACCTGCTCCCATCGAGTGCAATCCATGATGCTTGCAGTGGTTCCAACGAGTTATGCAGTTATTACAGGTACTGGAGGTTCTTCAGTCCTCCCAGATCTGGAACCAGAGGGCCTGAGATGCCTGCGTTCCCCAAATCCCTGCAAAAAGCAATACACAGCTACTTGAGCTTCAGTCTAGACAGGGTTTGCAGACAAACTACACCGTCAGACACACTGTTGTCCAGATTCCATAAGTACATGCACGACACATTAAGAAATGACTAATGCTTCCCCAAAAGAAAACTATATCTTCAAATGTTGAACTAAAGCACACAAAGAGTTTGTGATCTGTCGGGCCTATCCTAAACGTTTTCTCATAATAGTGATATAAGGGGGTAAACAAAGGAGGCAAGGTAGTGCTAACCGCATGGGCGAACAAGGGGCGGCGGCACTGGCAGCAAGGGGCGCCGGCAGGCAGCAGCACTGCGGCAGCTGCAACAAGGGGCGAGCTGTAGGTTGGCCTAGGCCGCGGCAGCGGCGCGGTAAGGGCTGCGCGGCGGCGGCCTGATGATGCACGTCACGGTGATGAACTGACGGGGTCGGGGGATTGGGAATCGAGAGCAAGGTGATTCCTTGATGTTGTGCACGCTCGAGGATGGGGATGGCATCGGTGTGGCGGCGATGTGGAGGCGAATGGTGGTGAGCTCGAGATCGGCGCCCTCGCCGTGGCACTCGAGCGCCCTGTCGACGCGCTCGGCGAACTCGAGCGCGCGACGCCGCCACCCTTGCCCGACACCATGGCGTCGGGCTCCTGCTAGAGCAACGGCCCCAGATCTGGTTTGTCGAGGGAATCGGAGGCGTCGGGGTGCGGGGGCGTGGGAGAGGGAGACGCCTTCCACGCCTTGGCGCGAGGAAGCGGATGGCGACGGTGAAAGCTCTAGTTTGGTTTTGGTTAATTGATGAAACCCTAAGTGCTAACCTAATTTATCAAGATGATTATGAGATAGGTAGCACTACTCCAAGTGATGAAGCAATGACGAAGATCATGACAATGGTGATAGCATGGTGATGATCAAATGCTTGAACTTGGAAAAGAAGAAAGAGAAAAACAAAAGGCTCAAGGCAAAGGTATAAAATGTAGGAGCCATTTTGTTTTAGTGATCAAGACACTTAGTGAGTGTGATCACATTTAGGATAGATAGCCGTACTATTAAGAGGAGTGTAACTCGTATCGAAATGCGGTTATCAAAGTGCCACTAGATGCTCTAACTCATTGCATATGCATTTAGGATCTATTGGAGTGCTAACACCCTTAAAAATATTTGTGAAAATATGCTAACACATGTGCATAAGGTGTTTGCAGGGTTGAGATGGGTATGGGATTCGGCGCTTTTGGAAAAATGAAATGTCTATTTTCTATTGCGCCGGATGCAAAATTCTTGGTGGTTGGCACATTTGTGCAAGGGTGAAGAAGTTAGAGTTGAAATGGAGTTGGTCGAAATGATGCTGGCGTCGGTCTACTGACCGGACGCTGGGTCACTCAGCGACCGGACGCTGAAAGGATGCGTCCGGTCGAGCTGTCAGACGGCACAGTGGGTTAGATTGAGCACCGGACGCTGGTCTGCGTCCGGTCAAGGTGGATCGGACACGTCCGATCGAAAAAACATGCCTCGGGGAGCTTACTGGAAATGACCGGACGCTGGAGCTTCAGCGTCCGGTCAGTTTTGCCGGAGCGTCCGGTCAGCTTCGTAGCCGTTGAAATCTGACGAACAGCGTTTGAAGCTGGTGACGCGTGGCGTCCATCGGGCGACCGGACGCTGAGGGCCAGCGTTCGGTCGGTATGATCGGAGCGTCTGGTTAGAGCATGTTTTGCCCAGTGAAGGGGTACAACGGCTCTATTTGATGGGGGCTCTATTTATAGCCCCATGGCCGGCTCAAGGGTACTCTCTTGCACATTTTCATTGACATAGCAACCTTGTGAGCTTAGCCAAAGCCCTCCCACTTATCTCCATCATTGATCTATCATCATTGTGAGATTGGGAGAGAATCCAAGTGCATTGCTTGAGTGATTGCATCTAGTTGCACTTGATATTCGTGTTGTGCTGCGGATTTCGCTTGTTTCTCTTGGTGGTTGCCACCACCTAGACGGTTGGAGCAGCGGTGAAGGATCGGCACGAGTTGGTGATTGTTCGTGGCCGCCTTCGGTGATTGTGAGGGGAGATGTACCTTCCCAGGCGGAGCGCCGAAAGGTAACTCTAGTAAATTGCTCGTGTCATTGAGTTACCTCACTTGTAGGTCGGTTCTTGCGGTGTCCAATCGTGTGGACGAGGTTTGTGAAACACCTCTTAGCCGCCGAACCACCAAGTGTTGGTCGACACAACGGGGACGTAGCGTGTTGGCAAGCACGTGAACCTCGGGAGAAAATCAATTGTCTCTCTTCTTTGTCATTCTCCCTGTGATTGGCTATATATTCATCTTGTGATTGGTTCATCTCCTACACGTCGGTATAATCACTCTACTCACTCATTTACATTCTTGCAAACTAGTTGATACAAGCTCTTTAGTGTAATTAGAATTGAGAGCTTGCTTTATTATTTACATTCATCTAGTTGAGCTCTTTAGAGTAGCAAGGTTGAGAGCTCTTAGTGAGTAATTACATAGCTAGTTTGTGTGCCTAAGTATTCATTGCAACTAGAATTGTTGGATAGGTGGCTTGCAACCCTTGTAGAGCTAGAGCAAGTTTGCATTACGCTATTTGTCATACTAATCAAATTGCTCTAGTTGATTTGTAGATTTTTAAATAGGCTGTTCACCCCCCTCTAGCCATATTAGGACCTTTCAAGTGGTATCGGAGCCGTGGTCACCATTTGATTGAAGGCTTAACAACCTCGGTGTCAAATTATGGCTCAAGTTGTGTTCAACCATGTGGGGGGCAAACCACCATTCTTTGATGGCACAAGCTATGATTATTGGAAGAGAAAGATAAGTGTGTATCTTGGTTCAATCAATGATCAAGTATGGGATGTAACCGAGAATGATTATGCTATCATTAATCTCGACAATCCCACCAACCAAGATAAGTCTAACAAGCAATGCAATACAATGGCTCTCAACACCCTATACAATGCCCTTGATCCAAAGGTGTTTGAGTAAATCAAGGATTGTGAAAGAGCAAATGAAGTGTGGAGGAGATTGGAGGAAACCTATGAGGGCACACCGAAGGTGAAGAGTGCCAAGTTATATATTCTCAAGGACAAGTTGATAGGTTTCAAGATGAAAGATGATGAGAGCATACCGGAGATGTTCCATCGCTTGCAAGTCATTGTCAATGATTTGAAGGCTTTGGGAGAAAAGATCAAGAATGATGATGTCTCTCATCGGTTCTTGATGAGTCTACCTCCAAGGTTTGAAATGTTGAGAATGCTAATCATAAGAGGAGGATTAAAGGAGATCACCCCCAACCAAGTACTAGGTGAAGTCATGACACAAGAGACATACCGTGTGGAAAGGGAGGGGGATGACAAGGAGGACAAGAAGGAAGATGAGAACAAGAAGAAGAAGAGTGTAGCATTCAAGGCAAGCTCATCATCATACAAGAACAAGGGAAAGTCAAAGAAAGAGTCAAGTGATGATGAGGATCTTAGTGATATTGATGATGAAGATATGGCTCTCTTTGTACGCAAGATGGGCAAGTTCATGAAGAAGAAAGGCTATGGTGCAAGAAAAAGAAGAGATCATACCAAGAGCAAAGAATATGTGAGAAGATGCTATAATTGCAAGAGTCCCGATCATGTGGTAGCCAATTGTCCTTACAATAGTGACAATGATGAAGATGAGAAGAACAAACACAAGAAGGACAAGAAAGAAAAGAAGGAGAAGAGGGAGAAGAGGATGACCTTTCAAAAGAAGAAGAAGGGTGGAGGCTATGTGGTCACTTGGGATAGTGATGGCTCATCGGATAGTGATGACTCTAGTGATGATGGCAAGAAATCAATCAAGAAAGCACTAGCAAGCATCGCCATCAACGACAAGCCCTCCATCTTCGACACTCCATCAACATGCCTCATGGCTAAGCCTACCAAGGTAAAATATGATGAGAGTGATGATGATGAAAGTGATTCTTGTAGGAGTGATGATGAAGATGAGGAGTACTCAAGGAGGAGCTCATGGACATGTGTGAGCAAGTGCACGCTTGCAATGAGATGAAGAGAAAAGGAGTGCAAAGAATTGCAAGAGAGTAAAATTTCTTGAGCAATCCTTTGATGAGCTCAATGCCACTCATGAGGGGCTAGTGGATGCCCATGAGAAGCTTGGCAAAGCTCACTCTAAGCTTGAAAAGGCTCACTCCTCTCTCATTGAGCAAGTCAAGAAGGAGGAAGCCAAGGAGGAGCAAGTGATAGTTACATGTGATGTGGGACTAACATGTGATCTTATTAATGAATCTACTTATAAGCCTATTGCTATTGCTCCCACTAACACCTCTTGTAGCACAACCATTACCACTCCACCTATGAATGATACATCACTAATGGTGGAAAATGAAACCCTCAAGAAGGAGGTGAATGAGCTCACTCGTGCCTTAGGCAATGCCTATGGTGGAGATGCCCGCTTGCTAAAGTGCTTGGGTAGCCAAAGGTTTTCTCTCAACAAAGAAGGATTAGGCTATACCCCCAAGAAAGGCAAGGCGGCCTTTGTCACTCCCAAAGCTAGCTTTGTGAAGGGCAATGGTCGGTTTTGCAATAGATGCAAGCAAGTTGGGCATATAGAGCAAAATTGCAAGACTAACAAGAACAAGCTACCTAATGTATCCTCAATCAAATTTGATTCTTGTTACATGCTTTATAAGGGTGCCAATGGTGTGAAGGCTAAGTTCATTGGTACACCGATTGTGGGCCCAAAGAAGAAGGCCATTTGGGTACCAAAGACCTTGGTGACTAACCTACAAGGACCCAAGCAAGTTTGGGTACCTAAAAAGAATTGATCTTCCTTTGTAGGTAAATTATAAAGCCGGAGGAAGGCATTGGGTGCTTGATAGTGGGTGCACACAACACATGACCGGTGATTCAAGAATGTTCAATTCAATCAATGAAAGCAAGAGCAATGGGATTGATAGTATCACATTTGGTGACAATGGCAAAGGCAAAGTCAAGGGACTTGGTAAGATTGCAATATCCAATGACTTGAGCATTTCCAATGTGCTACTAGTAGAGAGCTTGAACTTCAACCTATTGTCGGTAGCCCAATTGTGTGATCTTGGTTTCAAGTGCATATTTGGTGTGGATGATGTAGAGATCATAAGTGTAGATGGCTCTAACTTGATATTCAAAGGATTTAGATATGAGAATCTATACTTAGTTGATTTCAATGCTAGAGAAGCTCAATTGTCAACATGTTTGATCACTAAGTCTAGCATGGGTTGGTTATGGCAT